AGACAACCCACTGCACACGGCCACTCGAGCGAGTGATGCCATGTGTCTATATAATACATACGCTTTTCGCTAGGGTCAATTTTGCCATTGGGAATATGTGGAAATCCTCCACTGTCCTGCTTCATATCCCCCTATCTATCCACTCCTGCTTTCATGGGCTTTTATGCACGCTTCGCTACTTTTAATGCGTTTGATTCTTTGCATGCAATGCCTTAATTAATCGCTGCACATCCTTCGTTCCACAATCCATGGGAGTTTTCTCTTCGACGCTGCCCTTTTCAACTGTATTTAAGGCTTTTTCCCTCGCCTACCCTCGTAAATTTACGCCCTGCTCATGCACCAATCTTCTTTGCTGTTTATACACTGCCCTTTTTAATGGTTTTCGCGAAAATCCTGACATAATTAATTCCCTTTCTTTCATCTTCCGTCATTATCAATTTGGATACCCTTGTATATTTGTTTTGCTATTAGTGCCTGAGTTCGTCCCCAACTGTGTTTTTTAGTCATGTCCTAAGAGACTGCATAAACGACTGATGCTTTTTCAAATATGATTTTCATTCCTTTTAAAGAGACTTTTTGCCCGTTTTTTATGCTCCTAGACTTCCAAAAACATATTTGCTTTTTTTTGCAATTGACTCAGTTTGGCCTAATATGTTATAATTTATAAAATTAGAAGTCAATACTTTAAATGAGATTATCGTTCTCCATCTGGGAATTTTTCTCCAGGCGCTTTCACGTTTGAAATTTTGAAGTAGCCTACTTGCTCCCGTGTCCAAAATGGCGACACCAACGGCCAACGAAGCAATGACACCAAGGCACGAAGGTGGTCCTTCACCCTTTTTTCTGCCACATATTTTTAACTTTATTTCTTAATTTGTTCATCTTTAAGGCCTCGTTTAGGGTAAACGAATCCACCCTTTGTATCTGTGATTGGCAAAACTCATACTCTGGTTTTTATGTCATTGATTTTTCAATTTATTCAGTAGAATAAGGGGCTGATTTTCCGTTAATTTTATTTCAAAAATGGCCAGTATAGAGTATCCCTAGCCGCTGCATATTCCTGGCTAATTTCGTGAAGCGGCTCTGTATGAGCATAAATCATTTTCAACTGCTTTACTGAAAGTGATCAACTGTAAATTTCCCATTTTGTAATACGTTTGAGTATTAATTTCTTGTTATCTGCGAATATAGCTCATTAATATTTTGTTACCACGCTCTTTTTCACGCATTGATCTAAAGTTTTTTTTAGGAGTCAAATGCGATGCTTGCAATGCAAATGCCTTTCAATTACGTCGATATAAATGCCTCCGTTGTATCGACTTTGATCTCTGTGGATATTGCTATGACAACCAGCGTGAAACCAACTCTCACAAGAAAACTCATCCAACTCAATGCCTTATCCTAGAGGGAGATTACAATATTTTTTATCCAAATAGAGTTAGTTGTTGCGGTGTGCTTCTGTAGTCCAGTTTTCGACCATATGATTTGCCGTCGGCTTTTGGTCTAGGCACTGCGTTTACTGTTCAGTGAGCAAGTTGAGTGCTATAGATTCCCGAGCACTTACACATTTTTTAAATAATTATGCAAAGGCGTTAGGTTATACGAACCCTCCCCTTGTGTGGTGTCGGACGTTACCATCCGAAATTATGGCTGTCCCACATATTCTTTCTCGTCCTTGCTGACTAATGCTCCAGTCCTACGAGCATAATTACGATCGTCGGTAGCATCAGTCTGTTTTTTACATGGTATTTCAGTCTGTTAATACTTGAAAGCAAAACATATTATTTAGTGTGGGGGGGGGGCTTAAGATATCCCTTTGGGGTACACATCCACCGTAACTTTGTCACTTTTTTAGAAGTCTGATACAACAACGAGAAGCTACACTTGCCCGGTATGCGGTGCTATGGGTTTCCAAGTTGCGGAATTGGGGGCACATGTGTTTGACCAGCATGGTTCCTCACGCGTGGGTGTTATTTGTCCCATTTGTGTGGCTCCGCTCCCTGATGATTCGAGTGGTGGTGGAGGAAACTCGAACAAATTGCATAACTCTTTCTCCCATCATCTCATGGACGCTCATCACATCAAGAGGTCCCCCACATCCATTGAGCCCCCCGATGTGACTATGAGAAAGTCTGTCTGTGAGTCACTCTTAAGCAGTGATTTCGTGCTGCCCATCTCGGTTGACTTTGCTAATCTAATTCAGAAACGCAGCTTAAGAATAAATTACCACTTTTATTTTAAACTAACATAGATTCCTTTGGTGGAGCGAGTACAGGAAATGTTTCGGAACCATGTCGTCAGAAGGACCCTGTGCTTAATCCAACTTGTTACATTCGAAGTGCCGCTAAATCGGAGCTCTTTGAGCTCTTGTCTAGATCTACTTCAACAGAAACTCTACGTCGAAGTTGGAAGCTTCGCCTACGTCCTCTAAACTCTCAAGCATCACAACCACCACTCATACCACCTATAACGCCTTTGCAACCAAGAAAAGAAGGCGCAGCAGTTAGCGAAAATCATTCTGACGCAAAAAGCGGTGAAGAAAATGATTCCAGATTTATATCTTCTTCTACTCTGGCAGATGAACAGGTTGGCCGCTTAATGTTTCCTGTCTGTGTTGCGAACATTTTACTGCATGAACTGTAGTTCATCATGTTGAAAAAGGCCATGGATAAGTGCTAGCACTTACTCCACTTGGTGAACTCCACATGCGCGCATCACAAAATCCTACTCAAACTTAGCTTAGCATTACCCACGACAAAGCCAACACGCGATAGGAATGATTTCTTGGCTACCTCTCTTTACACGTTCACACTAGCCTCAGATTATTCAGATTTATTTCAGTTAGGCCATCAGTCATGCTTAGTTTAAAGCTTCTCTTCCGCTCTGCGGTTAGTCGGTATAGATTACTTCCCCCCACAGACAAGCTACGCACCTGAGTCAACTCGACAGGCTGGAGGCGACACTGTAGCGTCACAACAGATCGCACCAGGCAATAACAGCAACACCATAAAGCACGAATTGGTGCAGGAAGACGAACAGTGCATTCTAAGTCCCGGTTCACCCTCTCTGAGCGCTCTCTCCCCTCCAACGGTGGTGCCTTCTTCAACCCCGTTCACGTCTATCTCAATTCCTTCCGCTTCCCAAGTCAACACAGTTACCGCTGTCAGGCGAACTGTGTAAGCCATTCAGTTGTTCACAGGCCTTCTTGGGGTTTTTTTGTGGGTTCCTCTTTGGGTTAGCGCGGAGTTTTTTCCTTTTTGTAACACCGCAAATTACTAAAAAGATTGCAGTACTTGCACCCAACTAAACTCTCCCGTCGGTAAATCAGATCAAGGCCGGTTTCACTCTTGAGCGCTGGTGCGCAGAACCATGTTAGCAACATTCTTCGCTATTTACTCAAGCGCAAGCCTCGCCATTCTTGTTTGCTGCCATGCCATGCCCCTCCTGCATAGGTTATCTTGAAGCAGCCATCTTTAGGTGGAATCATGGATCTCGCGCAGGCAAATTGGGCCCATGCGAGCCTCCGACAGATGGTTCAGCACCCCATCACCTCCAGATGAGCCCCAGCTAAGCCTAGTGGTGACTCTCCACACGCATCTTTTGTGAATATTGGAATTTACACTTGAGCGAACGCCCGACTAGGATATGTCAATTAATCAAAGAATTATGACGAGTTGCCCTTATCGAGGAATGTATGCAACTCCGCACTTTTCCAACATTTCTGCATTTAGCCGTCCAGACCTCCTGCTAAATAACAGTAGTGTATTTGACACAAGGACTAAGGAAATGCCTTCTTACAAGTCCTAAGCAATCTCTCTTAACCTGAGGCATCAACTAGGTGACATGTATGCCCCTCTCTAGAACGACAAAGACTTATGTGCGTATCTGCTTTGTAGGTCAACGGATAAACCCAAAGATACTTTTGACACAATGTGGTCGGTATTTCTTCAGGAGTTGATTTGGGACAGCTTGCACATCGCCAATCTTCAACTCCAAACAAGACGCAAGTAGCTGCGCCGCCGCCATTGTAACTCGGCGACATTCAACTTAGCACGCTCACGAACATCTGTCATTATGATGATATATAATGGACCCAGTTTCGCTATCGTGGTCTTAATTTTGTCTGTTATCTCGCTTTGTTCTATTGGCGCACTTCTTTCGTGTTAACGAGACTACTTTATTCATTTCAATTCTACCGTTTTGGCCCCAAAGCCATTTGTGATTACAAGGTTCCGGAATGTAGATCTCGCCGTTTGCGACCGCGCATCTGCACAGGTTGAAATCTGATCTCCCTTTGTGAGAATTTGGGATGCTGTTGAGGTCTCCCTCCCCGTTGAGCTCTAAGGTCTGTGCTGGAGCGTCATTTAGAACAGTTGTCTACGACAGAACGCACTGGAACTAGTCCCGATCGAAAATTATGGTAGGTTAGGATGCTGATTGACACACCTATTAAACAACAAAGACCTTTAAGGAAATCGGAGTTATGCATACTAATATGTGATGATAGCAACATCTTGAGGCAACTCGAACCCCTTTCAAATTGTTGCGAAGAAAATTGCAGCAAGTCTCATGCTTAGTTGGACTGCGGTTGATTAATAACGCGCAAACACTCATCGGCAAATTCTATGAAAAGTGGTTCTTTCATTGCCTTCTCGATGGCCGCCGCCGGGTGTCTAGAGCTGTCAAGACAGGTTAGGTAGCGCCGCAGATGACGATTTGAGAGGAGTTCCTTCAGTCTCTTCGAATTTTCTAAAATTAACAAAGTTTAACAATCTTTGGACTAACAAGATGTGACAAAACCCTTTTGACTTACGAAGATTTTCAAGGATTCGGGTTGGAATGTAATCTGAACAGTTGTCACCAAGGTCGAGAGGGACGAGAGCGGCTAGATAATGTACATGTACATATGTCTTCTTAATACGATTTACCTTCTTCCTCTTCCTTCGACTCAAGTCCAACAGAGGAAACACAAGTGCTTTTGTGTTTATTGTAGCAGCCGAGAGAACAGCTATACAATGTCAGACAACTAAATAGCTAACTGTTTCAGGAAACACTTTGAACACTTGTATATCCAGGGGGCAGTCTCGCAGATTTCACACAAAGATTGCACTTTCGGTAAACCTTCCATACAGTACAAAAAACTAGGGCGCGTAAAGGGTCAAGTTAGTGAGCATAAACCATAAACGCGACATTCGTAGTTTCAGTAGAATGAATATGACTGCACTAACGCATTGATATTTTTTGGACGGCATGACAGAAAAAAACATCAGTTATATGAAGAAACCGACATGTCAGTATGTAGGCGACATAGTTAATTTATTTTTCCCGTCGACATAGTCCATGCATATTGTGACGAAAAGCGCGGCCATCAGCTTTATTTATAAATAAAGCGAGCTAATTCCCCTACAAACGTATATTTAGAAAAAAATGCAAATTTACACAAAATTAGACCTCCACCAGCTCGTGTACGCAAGTCAGACGCAGTCATGATTAAAACATCAGGACAAGTGAAATTCACAAACAATGAGCGTAGATGAAAACTATTGAATAAGCTGTTAGTATAGATAAAACGTAACGTAGATTAACAAAACGAAAGATTACATAAAAGTAAGATAGAAATTATACCGAATGCAGACCGAAAACCAACAAACAATTGAGGGAAAACACGAAGCCGAGTAATTTGATAGAGGCGTTAACCCAATCAGAAGAGTAAAACAAAGCACTCGCAAAACATTTGAAGTGCAAATCAATGCTATTTGAAATTTGCGCTTAAAGAGCGACGATGCAATACAGAAAGGAGAATCAAATATAAACCTTTACAAAAGTTTTTTGCGTATCATGAAGAGATCCATTTATTTAACCAACTTTAAAGATTAAGATCATGACCGAAAATTTGAATTCCTCCTAAAAAACAACAATGAAGCCTGAAAAATTTACACACATAAAAATCCACGAAATTATACATTTAGCATGCGACCAAAAACTTCTTTTTGTATTCGCAGCTTGTATTAATGATTCTTGTATCTTGGGATTAATTAAGCATAACAATTATAAGCAATGACAACTTTAGACTACATATTACAGAGTGGATATCGCAATTAACATATTAGAGACGAACTGAGGATTGCTCACTAAGAGCTATTTATTCGCGCCTGTTGATTAGTTTAAGCATAGGCGGAGAAGGGAGAAAAGATAGTTATTTGTGTTTAAATGAATTAATAAATTATGATTTTATTAATACTAATAAAACACTAGGGGGAAATATGTACAGTTAGTCGCTGTTTCTGCACAAATGCCTGTGCCTTGCGTACTTGTTCATAATATTTAGAAACAACGTGTCCATTGTTTGTATATTATCTCATTCCAATGATACTAAATTACACATACACAGAGAAATGAATCAGATGATGGAATTTCTCACCATAAAATCTGGCATTACCAGTGCTTTGCGGCAATCAATGTTTTATATCAATAAAGAAATTCATAACGTTAATTTACAGGTAGAAATGGACAGGCTTTATTAGCAAATTAACTGTTAGAATCATTTAATGAGCACCACAAATTACAGCAACTATAATCTGCGCCTGATAGCTGGTTTCATATAACAGAAACATGGAGGTTGGTCTTGGTACCTTTAAGAGGGTAGCGCCATTCATCACAGATTTCTTTTTAACCGCAGTAGTTTGGCAATTAGGGTACCACTGCAGTGGTCTCAATCTAAGGAAATTAAAATGTACATAAGAATTTCGAAGGAATGCGACCAGTGGAATCGTTATGGTATTCCATAGAGTCAGGAGTGGAAATTGGAAATAAATGAGGTTTGTGTTGGGGATCATCGATTCCCCAAGATTAGTTTCTGATGCTATTTACATTAATCCACTAACATGTTTTTTATGCTTTTTATCAAGTCAAGGTCAACCTTGACTTGAATTAGTTTTCGTTTTCACTTTCGCTTTCACTTCTTTTCTGCACGTGGCTGACGTGAATAAAGCTCTCTACTCGAGCTCTGGTCTTGTTCTTGTATTAGCCTGGGAAGGTCGGTTCTAGATTCAACAAGGGATCTGGTAGCGTTATTTGAGTGGTTTCCTCATTGTTACGGGCGAACGTAACAGTTCGATTGAGTTTACCCAAGGCCATACGATGCTACCACTCCCTAAGATATTAAAGAGAGTAGGGACGAGACTAGATTTTTTGATCAACAATGCACCAGAACCGATGGTCAGATCCCGCTACACTGCCCATCATCTTCATCCTATTCATGTTCTTCAAACATCCGCGCCTGTAATAAGCGAATCATCTTTCTTAAACAGGAAGAGACAGAAAATTTCTAAGCACATGACTTCGTATTTCTGGGTCGGTTTTTTATATATACATAAGAAGAAATGTAGTATGGAGAGTTCAGGGACAACAACGCATGCTGCATTAACCAATCAGAATGCAAACCATCGGTCCGTCTCACTCAGTTACATCCCAAACTGGTCAAATCGGTCATTTTATTTTGGCTCACTTTCATTATTGCTGATCTTTAACGCAGGCCATTTCAAAGCACAGACATAATTGGCTGACATAGGTGTGATCCAGAATATATGTGCTCTTTCATATAAAAACGTTAAGTCCATTTTCAATTTGAACTCGAAATTCACAATAGGGGTGGACTCGCTTAGTAACACATACATTTCGCTTGCTGCCTCGTAGCTAATTCTCTTGGTTAACAGCACGTTTAATATGCATTAAATCATTTTTTTACAATTGACCTGTTTTATGTTGAGGTCATCATTATGGCCGGCTTTTCGAAGGACGGCAGCGCGAATTTTAACAGGTTACTAAAGTTGTTTAATGTAAAAAAGGCTGAAGTTTGATTTGCAATATGCAAACGCACCCGGTCCTACTAACAGAGAATTCCGGAGCAATGGTATGAAGAAGACTGGTTCAACAGACAAGGCTTTATTTACCTATCTTAAGCCAGAATCATAAGGCAGGCGTCGTCCATCCGAGTCCACCACGACGGTTACACCCCTCATCATATTATAGGTTTCGGGCCCATAAGGAGAATAAGGCTGAGGAAAAACGGATTCTTTGTTGAAACAGAAACGACCACAGTCTCGTCAGTCGTATGGGGTAAAAGGGTCCTTACATATCCACGTTCCGGTTGCCCTGCTCCCTTATTGCTCCACTCCGCAGCGCTCTAATGGAGACGTAAAACTCGTGAGCGGATTGGATCTCAGTCCCTGGCGCGTCATTCAATGACTGCGTGACGCCACACAGCTAGAAGTCGATCACATGACGTCGTCGCCATGCCGTGCTGATCACCTTCGACCAATGACTGATCGCCAAGATGGCGACTATCCGCTATTCTGCTACACCACACCACAT